GCTTGACTTTTCTAGGTTTCCATTGCTAACCGTGGAAAAATTTTAATGCAAAATCAACAAAGATATTATGAAAACATGAAAGTGAACATACCACTCCACTGGAAATATCACCTTTAGACACCAAGGCACCAACAATGAACTCGAGGGCTGCTTGGTCCCCTACATTTGAATCTATGGCTAGATTCAAAAGATTTTTAGAAGTCTCTACTAGACTTTTCGTGATATAAATTGTTACGAAAGCATTCTCTACAGCTTCATATATGGATTTGTCTTGAGAAAATACCTGAAAAATCCAGTAATAGATACTATTTGTGTCAAATGTTAATAAAATAATGTTCACAGGTTAGTCAACCTAAAAAGCACAAAAAGAGGAAAAAGAAGGTGAAATAGAAGATAACATAGACATGAAGGCATTAGAACAAATAATAACCTACCAGTGGCAACATCTTGCGTAGACAGGCTTCTGCACCATCAATTTGGAATTGTCTACATCTCATCAGCAAGAGAATGGTGGTCTCAACATCTGTGGCAGAAGATGAAGCCATCAATTGAAGGAGTGTTGGCATTGTGGCAGATATACACTCGGAAAATTTCAAACCAGCCTCAAGGGAGGCAACCAAGGCCTTAGTTTGCTCCAAGTTCCCAACATCTGGAACAGGACTATCCTTACTAGCAATCTCTTGTTCAGTATCATCTAAAATATCAGTTAAATTCTCAGGCTGGTACATGGTCACCTCTTCAGCATTTCCGTTATCAACTTCACCATTTGACGAGTAATTATCAGAGGGAACACCATCACTCATGCCTTTGTCCGTTTTAACTGGTTCAAGTTCATTCAACTTCTTCTTGTATTGCTCCAGAGTTGCTTGAAATGAAGCTATTCGGAGTTGTGGACCAAAAGGATTATGCTGCATCATCATAATTAATAAATTCAATGCAGATTTTCTAACAAAGGCACTCTTATCTTCCAATCTCCCAGCAGCTACAGCAGCAACCTCATTCCATAAACCAATTGAAACAGAATGCTCCTCACATAGCTCAGCCCAAACTTGAAGAGCTCGACTCCTTGTATAAGCTGAAATGTCTCTACAACGCTCAAGCAAAATTTCCAACATGGCTTGCTTGGTCTGAAGACGAATGGATTTAGAACTCACTTCACCTTCAACATTCTTAAATGCTTTTGCAATTAATTTACCCAAAACACCTACGAGGGCATTCCTTATCTTATAAGATTCTCCCCCAAAGTGTGGAATCAAAAGTCCAATGTTAGTTGACACTAACTTTGGTAGTCGATCTGCAAGCTCCACCAGGAAGCGCCCAATATTTTCAGCTCCAGCCGTATCCTTCACATAGGATTTGGGGTTGGTCCTCCCAATCTCTCTGATAAGGGAACATGCAAGTGTTCCATCAGCATATTTCTTCTCAGCAAAAGCAACGGTATCAGCCATGTGGGTAACAACAAAGTCATGTTTGTAAATAAGGTGCATAATTGAAGCGGATGATTGCTCAATGTAGTGGTACTTTGTAGCACAAGACCCAATGATATGACATAAAGCATCTTTTGTTTCTGAATCCTTTAGAAGCGTGGCCTTCTCAAACATAGAAAACGCATTTCTGCAAATCCAAAATCAGAAGTAAAGTTCACTTCAACTGAAACGACAGTTTATGATAGTTAGTAGGACTAGTTGGACGAGGTCACTTACTCCACGATAAAAGATAGATAATTTTCGTCTGGGTCAGCTGATCCAAAGAGCAAAGAGAGGTTGATCTCTAGTGAGTTTGCAATCAGGTTAAGCATCCGGCCCCTCTGCAACTCCCAATTCCATGAGTTTACTGGCTGCTTCTTACGGGTACTTGCTGTCACCTGACAAATGACCATCCACAAACCATCAAACGTAACACCAAAAACAGCAAGCAGCAAGGAAGGAAGTATAGCAGGGGCCTATATGGATCCTACTCTTCATTTTTCCTAAAGTATGTGCAGCACCCAGGTTCAACAGATATTCATGAATCATACGTGGTATATAGATATCACCCTCCAAATTCATGAAACAACTTGGAAAATTTCGAATATTCCTCTTTCGGACACACTATCCTTTCTGACACTAACACACAAGTCTATGTAACATAGGCAGGGGATATAGTACCTTTGCATTGTTGCTAGAACCAGTGTTTGACTCCTCGGTCAAAATAATATGGAAGAGAAAGAACGAGTAAATTTTAAACGCGTTTCGATATGAAGTGACACGATCAAGCATTGGGGTTTCATCATCATCCTGAGCTTGGGAAACTCGCACGAGGGAATCCACATTCGGGAGCAAAACACTCAAATTAGACCGAAGACTTTCTGCAAGAATAGACTTACACGATGGTGTAAGGCTGGAAAAGCCTCGAACCGATGAGAAAACACGATCAAACACATCTTGCTCTTCGATACAGTAGAGCTCTTTATCAGAGAGATCAAAGGATACCCCTGTATTGAAAGGAGAAACAAAGTTCAATTAAATTTCTTTGAAATCATGTATAATTGATAAAATTAGCGTTACAAAAATGCTTGGAACGTGAAACATAAATATTCTACTCTTTAATGCTAGAGAAGAATGAGAAACTCAAATCATTTTTTCCAAATAATTTATGGAAACCAAACCAGCTTATTTCGTTGACTAATTTTCTCAACCGCGGGGGAAAATATTTTTTAAAACAAAAAAGTATCAGAGAAAATTTAAAGATTTAAACAAATTCATCTTCATTTTCCAGAATTTCCTTTTAGCTGAAGCAGTCTAGACCAATTAAAATGCATCCATTTTAGCAAAAAATAAACCGAATTTACACAAACTTTAAAAGACAAAAATAATCATATATTAGATTACGAGTTCGAAAATTTTAGAATAAGCGAAGATCTCATCGCAATTTTCCATAGTTTTCTTAAAGCTGCTAAAACTAATCTAACTTAACAAAAGGTAAACATAATTGACACAATTCTAAAAAAGAAGAATCATGAAATAGATAAGAAGAAATTGGAACCTTTGACAAATTCTTCGAGTTCTGAAGGACGAAGCTTAGAGACATCGATAGCGTTTTGAACGAAGAGACGGCTGTCTTGGTAATCTTCTAGTTCTTCTTCAACCTTCTCTAGGGCTTGTAGATTTGCTGGGAAAACGAAGTGAGGAGCCATTTTTGTTTTAGCAGATCTTCAAAGAGAGAGAGCTTCTCTACTTTCGTCTCGTCTTTTGTTTGTTTAATTTGGATTTTCCTTTTTCCCTCTAATTATTCAAATCAAAATGAGCAACCGGAGCGGGAAACTTCATTTTTTTCTCCTTTTGGGTCTCTGGTCGGGTCGGGTCACCTAAATGGCGCAAATGAATGGTTAATTAGACGTGTCACTTGTTTATTGGTCAAACAGTCATGTCACTCATCCATAACAAAAATTGATTTTATGTTAGAGGATTGAATAATTAAAATAACCAGTCTAAAATAATGTATTAATGATATTTAAGACCTTCAGTTTTTTCTTAAAAAACACAGAGTAAATTATCTACTTTGACAACTCATTTATTATTTAATTTTTATTTTACTAAAATATTATTTTTTAAAAATCATAACTAACATTAAGTTTTAATTTTATTTTGATTACATGTTAAAAATTAATTGTGGTGTTTATGTTGCATTTTTTTAAATAATTTTCAATGCTAACTTAGCATTATTTTATGCTAATGTCATATTAGGATCATTGATAATTTCATAACGACAGATGACCAAAACATAATCAAAACGTAACATTAAGTATGATTTTGAAGAAAAAATAATACTTAGGTGATTAAAACTTAAACTAAGTAATAAACGTGTGACCAAATAAGTAATTTACCCAAAAATAGTGTGGCTTTATTACTCAATATGATCCTTAAATTGAGAGAAAAAATCAATATAATTTATTGACCAATAAAATCAAACGTTAATCATTACAATATCAATATGACATTTCATAATACTGACATGATAAAATAATTTAATTATATTTTTATTGATTTTGAGAGCTTAATATTTAAAAATAAAAATTGTATTTTTTAATGATTTGAATAATTAGAGGGAAAATGATTTTAAATTTGTATTAATATAATTTTATCGTTAAAACTTTAAATTTTATCATTTTATTCCAATTTAAACATACCTCAAATTTTATTTTAAAGGGCCATCAAAACTTAAATAACCTTAAATTAAAAATCTAATGATATTTAGATTTTATTTTGAAAAACGGTAAAGATGAGGAATTTCTTTTAATATTAAAATATCAAATGAAGGCCTAACCAAAGCATCCATAAGGACCATAACCAGTATCAATGATTAAATCTCTTGGTCGGTGGGTGATCACCGAAGAGGTAAACGACTGAACAATAAAAGGTGCTTCACATTCATAGGTGAAAATCCGGGTGATCACCAAAGAGGTAAACGACTGAACATGAAAGGTACTTCATGTTCATAGGTGTGAAAATCCGGGTGATCAGCAAAGAGGTAAACAACTGAACATGAAAGGTGCTTTCTGTTCATAGGTGAAAATTCTGGTGGTCGCCGAAGAGATAAACGACTGAACATGAAAGGTATTTCATGTTCATAAGTGAAAATCCGGGTGATGTCCGAAGAGGTAAACGGCTGAACATGAAAGGTGCTTCATGTTCAAAGGTGAAAACCCGAGTGATCGCTGAAGAGATAAACGGCTGAACATGAAAAGTGTTTCGTGTTCATAGGTGGAAATCCAGATGTTTGCTGAAGAGGTAAAATGACTGAACATGAAAGGTGCTTCATGTTCATGGGTGAAAATCAAACCCCCATCATATCATTTTAATAATATAAAAGAAGGTGCATCAATCAAACCAAACTATCATCACACATTTTGTTCATCAAATACAAAGTCTATGTTAGGCCTGAAATCACGTTCACAAAATTACTTCTCCCATTGATCATCATACATCCAATTGAAATTGATAGCATGATGGTAGCATTAATAAATACCAACACTTGGAACCACTTATTATACGTAAAAGAAATTCTAAAATTACACACCAATGTCCACATATCCTTCCAATGTAGTGTACAAACTGTTAAAGATGTTTCATTGGCCAAAAGAACAGCCAGCATGAAATTTTGATTCTTAAGGTTTTAAATGAATAAAGAACTGACCAACAATAGGGTATGCTTTTCAGACGGAGTCGGACAACGGGAACAACTTTTCGAGCACGTTATTGGAGAGAATTCTGTTGGGATCCAATTCTTTCCGTGCTTTGTTATAAGCATCAACTGGGAAACGGTTTTTGAGTCTCGCTTGCAGAGTTCCGAGTTCTTCCTTGTCCTTTGGAACCTGCATATTGCATAGTTATCTTCTGTTGGGATATTGACACCATAAATGATCTAAAATTCAGTGTCAAAAATGCATGTCCAAGTGCATGCACAAAGAATCATACACCAGAAAGGTTTAAACTCATTTCTGCATAACATTACTGGATTTACATATAAATATGCACACATATATGACCCACGGAACAATACAAACATATTTTTTTATTGTATTTTTGGATAAAGAACATTGGAGCCAGTAGTTTTTCTTTTATTTTCTTTAAAAAAAAGCCTTAACCATCAGACATTGAACCACTATTACATAATCCAGAGCCCAGACACTAGTAGACAAAGAACTTTATAATTCAGACACGATAATATAATATATATTCATTACCTCAATCTTGGCCCAATGTTCATAGGCAGAATATTTGTCCCACAACTGTGATTGTGTAAGATGCCTGTAGTGGAAGAATTCTTCGGTTATGTCCTTTCTCTGACGAGCATCCATTGTAGGAAGGTACATGATTATACCAACCTGATACCCAGAACAAAGAAAGAGAAGCAGATTTAGATATGGGAAGTACAAGCAATTTTCACACTAAAACGTGATCTAATCAACATACATACCGGACTCTTGCATTAACGAAGAGAAAGGTTAAAGGTCATTGGTAACTAGTACTCTAAGACTCTAATTGCGATTTTGAGTTCCAGGCATCAGTAACAGTGTCCAATTACCTTTTATTTTATTTTTTGACACATTCCATTATGTTGACAGTGTCTGTTTCAGACACCGGTACCACACCGATACATCCGGACATAAGATGTGGCATCAGTGCTTCATAGATTTTCTACCAATTGTTCATTGTTGCTAATTAATCCCATAGGTGTATGCATGCATGCGCTTGTAAATTTGACATGTCTCTTATAGTAGATTTTCCTGCTGAGGCAGAAGCTAGTTTCATCTACATGGAAAGTAAGAGAGCTCTGGATTTGAAAATCACTGAAGAGAAAGAAATTACCCATGAGAATATGTCATCTTCTGCCGAGCTCGAAGCAGGACTCATTGGGCTCAGGCTGTGAGCTGTCCATCGCTGCTCTATAGGAGCAGGCGCGGGTATCTCATTTGTCTCAATGAGTTTCTTTAGCTCTTCAATGTACTCGAGGTCCTTCATGCTAGGCTTGGACAGAGTTCCTGCAGGAAAACAGGTTTCCGACACCCACTGTTGTCCTCCACAATCAAAACCCAATATTTCATCACTCCATCCAACTCGATATCCCTCGGACTTCCTCCAGAATTCAGCTTCAGCATGATTAACCTTCATGACATGATCTTTGTTGAGAGGATCAAGACTAAGCAGTTTATCTCTTAACTCCGTGAATGAGAACTCATTTATGTCTGGTTCATTGCTGTCAGGTGGTGTAATTTCTCTGGCCCTGCAGAAAACTAAGTCATTCAGGTAATTGACCGAAAATTTTAAATTTACACATAACCATAAAAAAACCTGCACAAAGGTTGATATCAATCCATTACAAAATAAAAAGTGCATAACCAAAACGATTACCTATTCCCCTTGTGAAAATTACAAAACAGAAATATGGTTCCCGGCTGTTTGAATACCAAACCAGAATAAAAATTCAGCATTTAGAATCAAAATCAGAACCACATGAAATATGGCCAAGGCACAACCAAATTGGTATCCATTATCTCTCCTTCAAAAGGATATCCCTGTTGAATTTCCCTCACCCTGGAGTTAATTATATATGAAAGAAAAAGAAGGAATTTGTTGATCCTAGTCTTATAAGTTTGTTTCCATTCAAATTGATCAATAACTTTTCCACATAATTGCTTGTTTCTTCTTCCATGGGAAAATGTAAATGCTCATTCTCTGCAGCTATTCATGAACATATCGCCAAAAACTAAAAAGGAAAAAAAGAAGAAGACGATTTTATGCAAGTTTTGACATGGATAAGGAACAGCTAAAACCAGTACCCTAAACCATAAAAAATAAGAAATAGTAGAAATCCCACTTTTCAGCTTATTTACCAATCCAAATGAGTCCCTGATTAAGACCCATTACCCGTACTGTACTGTTAGTGCACTAGAAATTCAATTGTAAGAGTTGACAGATAAAGAAACCAAACTCAAAACAGTTACACAAATAATTTATCAGTTTATTCTTTCTTCGCCTTTTCTGTGTTACTCCAACAAGGTTACTAAAATCAACATAGAACTAATAAATATAATGACTTAAAAAGAATATTATAGGATGGAAAAAAAGAGTTATTCCCAGCTAGGCTATTACAGGGCACAAGAGGACCATCATTTCCATTGGCTTCGTAGCTTTTCCAACAAATTGGACAAATACCTAAAGAGAATAGCAGTACCTGTATTTATTTATAGATTCTTTGTAAAGCTCACGGATATCTTGCATAGCCTCATCCTCAGAATATTTGGGTTTGAATTTGGGTGGACCTCTCAGTCTTGAAACAGGGTTGCATGTCACAACTACAACGGTGTCGGTATATGGAATGTACAAGTACTTGATATGCTTATTCTCAGATAACATCTTCCTACAAGCAAAGAGGTAAAATGCTTTCAATGTTTGAGAATACAGTATATGGAATGTACAAGTACTTCACGAGCTTACATTTGGACAACATCTTCCTACAAGCAAAGAGATATAAAGCTTACAATGTTTGAGAATCAAATTCTTCATTATTCATTCTTTGGTTTAAGAACAGGAATCTACAAGTACTTTTCCGACTTAGACTCCCAACAAAATTTGATAGTCAAACAGCATCACCATAAGATAATATCATAAATCAAATAAATTACTTGTGGTTTTTCTTGAGGTCTTTCAAGTTTGAGACAGTTGTGTGCTCCACAAGCTCTTGTCTTTCAACACATTGAATGATCACTTCAGCAACCACCCCAAGCCCCCCAAGACCACAGCGAGCTAAATAAAATAACTCCGGGTCTTTCTCTTTCGAAAGCTCTATTGTTCCCTTGGCAGGAGTAACAAGTTTCATGCTAACGATCTGTTCGTCAATGGGAGGCAATTTTGCGCCAGTACCATGAGCACCTACCTGAAGACGAGAAGAAGAAAAGGACGAATGTCAGATCAAAGGAGTTAACTTAAAAACGACTCATCTTCATGCAATTCACTTCATCAATAATGAAACAAGCTTGACTCCATAACTTTACACTTCATCCAAAATTCACACGTATATTGTAAGTTGTCACTGAACAGCACTATACAATATAAAATATAGCAAAAATTATGGCAAACTGAAGACTTGGGCGCTGATCAAACACCAATTTAATGTGATCCAAGCTACAAAATCTGTAAAAACTTTATATATATTTTTCGTTGTGCTTCGTATATATACTATTACCCATACTACAGATGAATGAACAATAAAGCAAGGGGGGAAAACCTGAAGAATGCCACCAATCTGCTGCTCTCTAATGGAAGCAAAGTTCTGAAGAGTTAGTCCATAATCCTTAATCTCATCTACCAATTGCTGCACTCTTATCCCCGCTTGAACCCTCACCCTCTTATTCTCCTTATCCACCTCCAACACCTTATCCATCAACGCCAAATTCACCATCCCTCCACGGGCCAACCCAATCCCATTCGGGGACAACCCAGACCCGACGGGCCGGAGCTTAGCCGGCTTCTCGTTCGACTCCTTAACCAGCTCCTCCAGCTGCTTCAGATTCTCGGGCTGGTGGAAATGCCTGGTTTGCACCTCGTGTGTCCCACTCCAGTTGGACACCGTATGGAGGTCCTCGGGCAGCGGCGCGTAACGGAAGAGCTGGGCCTTCTTGTGCTTGGCGTTCCCCGGGAACGGGAAGGAGTAGTAAGTGGCGGCGCCGCAGAAGACGAGGAGGGCAGTGTAGCCAAGGTACTTGCGCAGCTCGGATTCGGAGGAGGATGAAGGGGTGGTTGAGAGAGTGCGGATCGGGGAGAAAGGGGGCGAAAACGGCGGCGGCGGTCGTTGGGGACAATGGGCGAGAGTTTTGAGGTGCGTTTGGAGAGAGCGTTTGAGGGAAAAAGATCGAAACATGGTGGGGAAAAAAAGGTTTCCGAGGATGAATCAGTGAAGGGGAAACTCTGGGTTTTGTTGTTCTTAGATCATTTCATTGGGTTATGAAATGAAGCAGCCGGGAAGGAGCTTAATGTTGTTTTCTGATTTGGATAAATCGATAACGATTGTGAAGCTCTACACAGCGCAGTGAAGAAGTCCTCCTTTTACTGTGCCTGTGATCGACCAATTTTTGTTTCCTATTTCCCCTTTCTCTTGTCATCCAAAATCTTCTAAAAATTTGAATAAATATACAAAATTATTTTTTTAAATTAAAAATCGAAATTTAATTCAATTAATTAATTATTAGATATTATTTTTTTAAAAAATTAATTTTAATTAATTCTATTCAATAAATGATTCAATTTGATAAGTGATAATAACGTAAACAGCCTTAATCTCATGAATAAGACTTATTGCATTAAAAGTCTTTTCACTAACATTTCACGAAATAAACTTTTTGCTTCTAAAAAGACATCAAGGTTAGATCAAGGAAGGTAACTCGAGTAGTTTTTCTTAATTTTTTTTTAATTATTATATATTTTAAATATTTATTATTATTAATTTATTTTAGTTCTTTTTAAAATTTTATAAATTTATTTTGTCTTAAAATTTTAAAAGTTTACACCTTATATAAAATTTTACGTCTATCTTAAATTCACTCCCCTTTCTTCAATGATCTTTATTAAAACTCGAACAATAATTTTCTCATTCATACATCAATAATATATCAATTGTTAAATTCATTATTTATGATATATTTGCATATGAATTTAAACACTATTCATTCATCAAATACTAATTCAAATGTTAAACACGACTAAATACATATCGAAATCACACAAACAAGACCTGTGAATAGTTAAATAAGGATGAGTGGCCTCCCGATTCAAAAGCCTTTGAATCCTCGTGATTTTTCAAGCAGACTCCATTATTGGGCTTAGACAATTCTTTGCTGCCACAAATAGAAGAAGAAAAAACATATAATGATATAATTAAAGGTGGGAAACACTTGTAAGTTGAGTATTCATGAAACATTCCAGCATAAATACAGAGCAATCTGATAGAATTAGGGATGACCATAGATCTAGATTTGATGAGTATCGATTAAATCCGATATGATAAGATCGTTTGAAATTTAAGTTTGTGTTAAATTTGGATTGAAAATTATATCGGTTTTTTTAACCAATATTTAAGCTTTTATGGTTTAAAATCTAGTATAAATGACAATGGTTTGCGAGACAAGTAAACGAAGACTTAATTGGCTGAAATAATGGTGTAATAAGTCTGAAGAGAAGTGAGGAGAAGTGCAGTAATGGCGCCCACAAATGCTATAAAGGTCCAAGGGCTGCTAAAATACGTGAGATACGCTTGAGCTGCATGCCTGATCCACTTTCTCCCACAACGATCCTCGATTTGCAGTTTCACGTCGAGGTAAATTTCTGGATTGGAAACAAGGACAGGGTTCATCTTGTTGAAAAGTTTAGCCACTTCTTCATCACTTCCAAGCGCATTGTAGAGTACCTCATCATCTCTCAATACTTGAACATCTACGGCATCGTTGATGAGCGAATCGAGGAGGCAAATGTACGATGTGACTGTGGAATCGTTTTCGAAATCCGGGCACACTTCGTAAGCTATCAAGTTCATGAACATTGGCCTCGTCGACTCGTCCACCCTGATCGGTGGTAGCCGTAGTTTTCCCAGAAAGCCTGTGCGGCTGAAACTTACGTCCGTGGGGAGACTGGTTTCACTTTGTTCAAACCAAATCCCAGAATTTCTAAGCTCTTTCGCTGGACGAAACCCACGAGGAAAAAAACCAATCTCGTATCCGCAAGTGGAAAACAGATCCTGGCACATGAACCCTAATTTCTCCAAAAGGCTTATCTTCTTTTCTTTCTTGAGAATGATCCAAGAGATGAACTGGCTCTCCTTCCTGCTTCAGTTGTTCTTCCATCTCTTCTGGAATAAAAACAGAATTTGCTTCAATGAACCTTTCGATCAATCTCATGAACAAGCCCCCCTTGCTGCTGCTCGAGCTCGTGATTAACAACTCGAGAACACGGTAAGGCAACTGGTTTTCCAACAAGAACAGATCCAAGTACTCGAATGTCTGCAAATCAGTTTTAACGATTGTTTTACTCCACGATTTACTTCCATCACATTCATAATAATGAAGGTATTGTAAAATGGCTTGTAAGATTGCACATCCGTCAACGAACAGCATCCAGGCCAGCTTCTCATCATCATACGGCTCCAACACCTTCGGATCGTAGCATTTCTTCAAGCTACCGATCTCCGTCTTGATCATGTTGTATAACACCCCCTTTTCGACTCCAATGTTCTTCACGAAATGTGCTGCTAATAGAAGCTTGAGTTGCTCGGAGCCATGGAGAGTAGGATCACCGTGGTGGATGGGTCCGATTGATGTGAACCTCGGCTTGAAATACTTGATGAAACTTTTGGGGATGCCGAGGGTTGATGGAACCCTTTGGATCAATGGTTTGGTGGTGGGTTTGAGTTGATGATGACCTTCAAAAGCTTTGTCTAATGACTCGAGTCTCTCTATATCGACATTGCTGAGATTGAAGTACCTGTGTGGTACTGAAATGACTATCTCTGGGATATTGTTATTTGTTTCGTTGGTGGAAACAGCTCCGCCCGGGACACTGGCTGCGCCACTTCCTTCCTCGTGGGACGACATTTTCAGCTGACCTTTACAAAAGAGATTAACAAGGTGATTTTACAACTAGTTTTGGCAACTTAATTTGAGTTTTAATTTAAAGTGGGCTTTATTTACTTTTAATGTAAACTACACCATTATTCACTTAGCTTTAAGTTATGTGTTAATTTGATCACTAAACTTCAAAATGCTTATTTTTAGCATTAAACTTAGTTTTCTTATCGATTTGGTCGTGGGTGTTAAATCTTTAACAAATTGATGATGTGACAGTTTGGTGTTGATGCGAATTTTTTTATTATTTCATTTCATCACATTCTTCATCAAAATTATTTTTTTTACATTATATTTTCAGTTTGTGTCGAAAACTATCATTCGCATGAATCTTTTGCGGTCACCCTAGACACCGATAAACTTGACTCATCTTCTTCTACCACTTTATTAATTTATATTTTCCTAAAATCTCTCTTAAACCCACACAATTAAACACATATAAATCTTCATTTTTTGGGGTTAAGAGGCTTTCTCGAATTTAAGGGGTTTAGAGTGTTTGTTCGGAAATATGTATTGTGAGTAATATTCTTTTGAGAAATGAGCAATGAATCTCAAAACTAGCATCATCAGACAATCATCGAAGGATATTGAAGCATTAGAATATCGAGTCTTTAGATGAATTTTCATCGATTTTGAGTCGGTTTCGTTGAAAAAACAATCCAAAGAAAAGAAAGATTAGTGAAATATGAATGTTTTAGTATCCATCTTGCAGCGAAGAACGACCGGTGACGTTTGATGATTGGTTGACAAAGACAGTAAGAGTAATTGACAGTTTTTTGTAAAAAAAAAAATGGGGAAGAAACTGCCACACATCACGTCGTTAGTGATTTAACGACCTGGTGACCAAATTGATACAAAAACTAAAGTTCAGTGTTAATATTGAAGTTTTAAATTTAATGACAAAATCAATACATAACCTAAAGTTCAATGACTAATGTTATAGTTTACCCTTACTTTTACGATACTTTATGAGTAGGAAGTGAGTATAAAATTTTACATCGGATAGCATTTTCATCATTCTCAAATTATCATAATAGACTAATCATTGAACAAATTTTCTTATTAAATTGATTTTTATAACATCATTTGATTAACGAGCATCCATTCTATTGAATCTTAAAGTCACGTTGTTTAAGCCTGCAAAAGTTAAAGCAAGAGAAGGATTTAACTTTAAGAACGTGCTCAAAGAATTTCTATTTAATTTTAGTTTTTTTTTATTAATTTGGTCATTAGATTTTTAAACCGTTAGCAATAAGATGATTTGGCATTTGATGTTAATGTCAAATCCAACTTCTTTTATTTATTTTATTATATTTTTTTTGTTAAAATTAGAGTTTTTCGCTTTAAAATTATCATTCTTTGAAGTCTTTTGTAGATATTTTAAACATTGATTAACTCAAGTCATAGTCTTACATCACTTTATCAATTTAGATTTTTCTAAATCTCTTTAAAATTCATTAAATTAAACACAACAATTTCTTGATTTTTAGAGGTTTGGGACTTTCTCATATTTATGGGGTTGAGTGTTTGTTTGAATATCTAAAAAGTTAAAAATATTTTATTAAGAAGACGAACAGTAAATCTCGAAACTAATTTCATCAGATGGTCGTTAGAGGTGATCTAAGCATTAGAACATCGTACCTTTAGATGGAGTTTCATCGATATACATGGGCTTTGTGAGAAAACAATTAGAGGAGAAAAAAATAACAAAATGAAATATGAATTTTTAGTACCGATCATTCCATAAATAACAATCAGTGATGGATGACGATTAACTGCTAACAACGGTTAGAAGAGTTGGCAATTTTCTACAAAAAAGGGTAGGAAAGAAACTATCTCATCATCATATCGTTAACGATTGACTGATCTGTGATCGAATCGATAAAGAAACTAAGGTTTAATACTGAAATTGATGTGTTATAAAGTTTAATGATTAGTAATGTATTTTACCCTTATTTATATAATGCTTTATGAAAGGGAGGTCGATATAAAATTTTCTTTTGGGCTCAAAATTATCAAAATGAACTAATCATCGAATATTTTTTTTATTTTACTAAAGTGGTTTTCATAATATCATTTAATTAACGAGCATCCATTCTATTGAATTTTAAAATCACATTGTTTAAGACAGCAAAAGAAAAAGCAAGAGAATGATTTAACTTTAAGAACGTGCTCAAAAGTTGAATTTCTAGTATTAATGGATAAACATTGTAAATTATGAATAAATAAAGATATAAATCTAGAAACTATTTATAATTTCTTTTATAATAATTCGTAATTATTTTATTGATATATTAGTTTAGATTAATATTATAAAAATTTATTATAAGAGCAATCTTTCTAATATAATTTATTTTAAATTTTAATGTATAATATGATAGAAAAACTTGGGTTTTAAAATTATACATTTGATATTTAGAGTTTGATTGAATTGCACACCTCAAATGATATAAATAAGTAACGAGGATCACATTGCTCGATTGATATCATTTTAATAGTTAACCTAATTAGTGATTATATTAGAATCTTTTATAATTAAGTGATCACAGATATAATTTATCCTTAATATTATCAAACATAAATTCAATTATTGAACACTTTATTTATAATGTATTTTTATATAAATGTTTGAAAATATATAAATCTAAACACTATCTATACATCATATACAAACCTAAATACTAAACAGGATTAGAAAATATATCGAAAAACACACAAACAAGACATGAAAAGTTAAATAAGGATGAGTGGCCTCCAGATCCAAATGCCATTGAATCCTTGAGATTTTTCAAGCAGTCTTAACCATTGCTCTTAGATAATTCTTGGCTGCCACAATAGAAGAAAAAAACATATAAATAAAGGTAGGAATGGATATATTTCACGAAATATATATGAAAAAAATATTTGATATATAGGTTGATTTATGAATGGACCGGGGGACAATCATTCCCTAAAAAAATTATGTTTTTATATAATTAAAATATTTTATTTGTATATTTTTATTGATAATATGTTTCTCCTCTTATAATTTTATAAGTTCTCATCGTAACATCAAGTCATGCTTTCATTCTAGGATTGTGTAAAATTTAGACTACACAATTTTATCTATTTCAATCTATGCTATAAATTCTAAAACCTAAACCCTAAATAACACATATGACATCGAAATGGATAAGGTTGTGTGGTCTAAATTTCACAGAATCTACACAACTTCATTTATTTTAATCTTAAACCCTAAATCTTAAATAGGACATACGAGATTTGAAATGGATAAGATTTTATAGTCTAAATTTTAAACAACTTAGCATTTCTTATTTCAATCCATATAACATAAATTTTCAAACCCTAAATATGATATATAACATCGAAATAAATAATGTTATATAGTCTAAATTTTATATCGCTGGTGTATTAAATAAATTTCTTTTAAATATTAGACACAAATACACAATCGAGAGACATTTATCAAACTTTTAATCAACCAATTGAACTAAAAATTAAAGATACAAAATAGGACATATGACATTAATCCTATACGGTAAACCTGAATAGTACATATGACATAAAAATAAATAAGACTGTGTTTACAAGGTTTATAAAATTTTGTAGTCTAAATTTTATACCGTCATAATCTTTAAATCCTACGTTTTAATACTATGAACCCGAAATAGGGCATAATGGCATATAGCATTAAAATAAATAAAAATGTGTAATCTAATCCAGTTTTTTTAACACTGCTAAGAGAATGGTATATTTCTTTAAGGTAAAAGTTTCAAAATCTAATGACAAATAACAATGGTTTGCAAGACACCTACGCGAGACTTACTTTGCTGAAATAATGGCGTAATAAGTCTGAAGAGCACTCATGAGAAGGGCAGCATTGGCGCCCAGAAATGCTAAAATTGTCCAAGGGCTGCTAAAATATGCGAGATAAGCTTGAGCTGCATGCCTGATCCACTTTTTCCGGCAATGATCCTCGATCTGCAGCTTCAAGTCAAGGTAAATTTCTGGACTGGGAACCAACACAGTGCTCATGGTGTTGAAAAGTTTAGCCACTTCTTCATCACTGCCAAGCACATCGTGGAACAACCCATGGTCTCTCAATAGTTTAACGTCACCGGCGTCGTCAATGAGCTCGTCTAGGAAGCAGATGTAGGAGGTGACGGTGAAATCGTTTTCGAAATCCGGTCACATTTGTAAGTTATCAAGTTCATGAACCTAGTCCCCGTCGAGTCGTCCACCATGATCCGTGGTAGCCATAGTTTTCCCATGAAGAATGTCCGGCTGAAACTGACGTCCGTAAGCCGACGGGTTTCGCTTTCTTGGAACCAAATCCCAGCTTTTCTAAGCTCCTGTGCTTTACGAAACCATGGATAATGATAATCCATCTTTGTTCTGTGTTTGGAGATGCAAAACAGATGGCACATGAACCCTAATTTTTCCAAAAGGGTTCTCTTCTTTTCTTTCTTGAGAATCAATCTCTTTCGCAGTTGATTCAAGAGATGAACTGGCTCTCCTTCCTGTTGTTTCTGCTTCAGTGGTTGTTCTTGTTCCATCTCTGCTGGGAAAATAACATTTTCTTCAACGAACCATTCGATCCTTTTCAGGGACAAACCCCCTTGCTGCTTGAGCTCGTGATTAACAACTCAAGAACACGATAAGGCAACTGGTTTTCCAACAAGAACAGATCAAGTACACGAATGTAAGTGTAGACACACTTTATACGACTAATATATATTTATATATTATATATATAATTATATATATACAGTATAAATATTATTATTATTATTATTTTAAAAAACTAACACATTTTTACATTTTGTTTCATTTCTGTAACAGACCCAAAATTGCATTTGGCCCAGCAGAAATCAGTGACCCAAATGGCCCAAATCCCACGTAACCCATATTAGTTTAGGGTTTCCAGAAACCCTCATCCAACGCCGTTTCCAGGAACCCCCAACGCCGTATCCCGTGAGAACTCTTTCTCACTCATGACTCCGGTCCTCACGACCACGCACTCCAACAGCCCGAGTTCTCCGGCGCAAGGACCTCAGCATCAACACCAACAACCCACAAGCAATTGAGTTAGAATAGGAATCGAATACTTAGCAAATCATAGGCTATAAATACATGTAATCCATCTGTTTTGTACTACGGATTAGATACGAAATAAAAACGACAAATTTCCAGCAAACCACAGAGAAATCACCACACACAACTTCACAATAGCGAACACAAGGAGTGTCCAAGCACTTGTGGAACATTTCGAAAAGGAAATAAAAGAGGTAGTCTTTACCTTGTTCTTTTCTTCTACTCTCTTGCATGTTGTATTTCCTTTGTCATTTGGTGCGAATCGAACCCGAAAAATCGCTTTTGGCCGATGAACAGGGAGGGCCAACGAGATCTACCTATTTAGATCTAGCCCTCCCGAGGCCGTTTTTTGAAAAAATATTCGGATATTTAAAATGGGGAGGGGAAAAGCTTTTAAAAGAGTCAAAAAAAAATTGGGTTTGTCGCCGATGAACGGCAACGGCGAGGCGGCACGGGGCGGTTATCGGCCGGTTTCTGGAAATTGTTGCATGTGTTCTTTATTTTTGAAGAACAAGGTAGAGAGAAAGAACAAGAGGGGAGAGCTCGGTTTGGGAAAACATAACAAATGAAATTTTAAAACATATTTTTAGGTTATATAGTAGACCCGCAGAGCCATCCGACCTGAACCGTTGCATATCAGATCCGCGTGTTTCCAATCAAAATTGGCAAAATCCCATTTTGATCCATTTGGTTTTTTTAAATGCCTATTTTGGTCCCAATATTGCATTTAAACCCTAAATCCGTTCTAATTTGGCCACTTTATTTTCCTTTCTTTTCAGTTTGGCACCGGCCAACTTCAATTTGGATCATTAAATTTTAATACTTTTTAATTATTTGTTTTTTTCCGTATTATTTTGTTATATATATATATATATATATTTATATATATATTTACGTTTTATTATTATTAGTTTTGTATCATTAGTATTATTATATATATATACATATATTTATATTTATATTTCCCATTTTTTTCTTTATATGTATATATATATATATATTTTTTACTTTCGGTTTTTCTATTTCATATTATTTTTTATTTTATTATTATTATTTTACTTGTATATATGTTTATTTACTTTTTTATTCATTTTCTTTTTTTTTTCTTTTTTCCTTCTTTTATTTGTTTTATTTATTTATATTTGCATTATCATTTTTTTAATTTAGTTGTTTGCTATGAATACGTTAGTGTTACTATTTTTCTTCATTCTATTTATTTCTTTTTATTCTATTCATTTTTATATTCACTTTTTTTATCTTCTTTATTTTTTATTATTTTCCTTATTTCATTAGTTCTACATTCTTTATTATTCATTTATCTCTTCTAACACATATTTTGACTTTTAAATGGTACGCTTTCAAATCAATCAATTGTAAGTAGCTGATATCGCTATTTTACCTTTTAATTTAAAGTTAAATTTTTCTTAATTTAAGACAACTGGAAATTATGTAGTACCGAAAGGGCAATTCAAGGGTGCTAACCCTTCCTTGACTGTAACCGACTCCCGAATCCGACATATCACTGGTAAGACGCAGATCAGGTAAGAAATAAGGTATCGATCAACCCATTTTTAATAAAATAAATGATTGGTGGCGACTCCAACCCAATTATTCAAGTCGAAGCCCGATTTCGGGGCCCAACCGAAAGACGGTTGCGACAGCTTGGTGACTCCACTGGGAACAGGTAAATGAGTCAGGCTAAGATAATTTCCAGTTGTCTTTTTAACGAAAAGAGTAAGTTTAAATTTTAAGGTAACATTTCGATCCTTTTTACTTACTTTTGATTATATTTTCGAGTAAATAGTTGTACTAATCGTTTTCTCATGATTTCAGCCTTCAAATCTTTTTTCACTTAAGCTCTATACTCGAGCTCCAAACCCTATTTAAGTGGGGGTGAAAGCGACACATTCGTGTGAATTTATTCACCGCATATGCCTAGCAAGTAGTCTTCGGGATTCATATACCTTATGTCTTCGTGTGAATTTATTCTCTGCATAGACATAAGGGAATGTGTCCCCTCGAGTTTAACTTAGTCCACACAAGCCTGTGATGGGTTTAGGACTAAGGGTCTGGTAAGCCCAAGGGGGCATCGGCGAGGAGAACTAGGGTACCGTTTTTTAGAGCCTAAACCGGGAGACTATGGAGAATTAAAGCCTACCCTGAAACCACATTCCAAAACCTAGGATATTTTTACCCTAACCATGTTTCTTTTTGTTTCTTTCCCTTTTGTCATTTTATATTTATTTATTTATTTTTACTGTACTAACTTTTTGCATGTGTTTGTTTTTTAGCATTTGCATCATAACACGGGGTCGTTGATCCTTAAAAAGCATTTATTACACACAAAATAATCTGAACAAATGGACAAGGGTGTTGTAATACAAGAGATTAAAAACCCTGAGGTACGACTATGGTCTGAGAAGACTCAGAAGGAAAAGGGAGACAGTCTTCAAAGTAGCTATGTGTCAGAGCTGGTCAGCTATACCTCTATCAGCCTAAAACAGAATGACGTACAAGAGCTTCGAGACATATGGGACAGTTAGAAGAATGATCAGAAACAGAAGTTCAGCCAACGGTACGGAGACATTGCACTTTTGCTTCATATCAAGACCGATGAGCCCTTAATCAGAGTCTTGGTTCAATTCTGGAACCCGGGATACAATTTCTTTACTTTTAATCAGAAGGACATGGTGCACACTATTGAAGAATACACTACACTATTACACTGTGAAAGTATCAGACTAGAGAGGTCCTACCTTAAACACATTAAAAGCCAGCCTTTCAAGAATGCACTAGCCAAAGTTGTCGGGGTTGACGAAAAATGGGTAACTGACCGGGCTCGATGTAAAGGCAATGGGGAAAGAATTGCTTGGCTTCATATCAAGCAACTGATGAAGAACCATCCCGATGAGTGGAAGGCAATAGACCTTTTTGCACTGGGTCTGCATGGTCTGATTATATTCCCGAAGACTTTGGGTTACATTGATGCTGATGTGGTAGAGCTGTTCGAACAACTCCCGAAGCGAGTCAACCCAGCACCAGCCATCTTAGCCGAAACTTTTCGATCTCTCAACCATTGCAGAAGAGCTGGCGGAGGAAGGTCGTTGGGTGTACTCAGCTCCTTCAAGTCTGGATCCACAACCACTTTTGGAAGACTAATGGGGTGGCCTATCGCCGGTTCAGCACTACTTATTCACCTTTGGGAGAATTCATTACTAGGAAGTGGCATGAAGGTGCTTCAAAAGAAAAGTGGATGGAAGTCTTTACACATCTTCAAGATCGAGATATTACTTGGAGAGCCCCTTGGTTGTTCCTCGGTGACGTTATTTTCGGTATGGGGATTTGATACTATGACCTTACTCGGACTTTGGGGTGCAGTTGGTATGCTCGTTGTTAGCACTTAGATAATATGATGCACGCCAGTTTGTCCCTGCAACATACAGACTAATTAAATTAAGTTTGTGCATAGCGGTGACAGTTATAAGAAGATGATCAAGGAAGCACCTGAGTCATGGAAGAAAGTATTTCTAATGGATGTCGTTGCTGCCAGAGACATGCTTACTCCGGATTATGTGGAGTGGCGAAGATTGAGAAAGAATGATAACGTTCCGGTGCCAGATTGTGAAGACACTTGGACTATGGAAGAACATCTCAGGCCTGTCCCTTCCAGACTTGAGATAGCCAAGGCAGAGTTTGAAGCTGTGAATAACGAGCTGAAGCAGAGGATTAAGGAACTTGAAGTTGAACGTTATCAATGAAGCGTGATGCCGACTCACAGAAAGATAAAGTAAACAAACTAGAAAGGGAACAGAAAAGAGTCCGTTTTGAGCCGAAGACTTAAGAAAAGGCTATCAGGATAAAGTCAATGATAACTTTAAGTTAAAAGTAACCTCTGAATACTGGAAAGATGAAGCTCACAGTCTGAAAAGAAAATTCGAGGGGACTGATGAAAGAGCTTGGAAGGAACAACTGAAGACTGCTCAAAGGCGCTTGGCAGACAGTCAACATCAGAACCAACGCTTGAGAATTCGGGTGGCGGACTTAGAGAAACAACATGAAAAGGATGGAAAGACAATAGCTGAGTTAGAATCTATTGTAGATGGGTTCAGGAGGCAAGTGAACGAGCTTCAGATAGTACCTTTGATGGAGGTTTACAGTGGTGTTTTCGTTGGGAGGAAGCACAACGAAGGGTAAGGGCCAGAGATGTAACCATCCGAGATTTCCTGGAACAAGTACAGAAGGTGACTCGTCATCTTCACAGCCTGGCAAGGGAAGCAGGAGTGGTTCGACAAGGCATTCAACCAGTGACAGATGAAGGCAGAAGACTTGTCAACCTGCTAGAAGCTGTTAGGGGTCTAGAGGATTTAGTCCGAATGTAACTTTAATTTGTTTTTATGTCTCTTAAAAGATAAATATTTTTGTCTGAATAAGGATTATTTATAATAATGGACACTTTTCTGGA